AAACTGGAAAAATATGCCACAGCATAGGACCAGACATTATAAGCAATACATGATTCAACCTAAGTGTATAAAGACTAAGAAAGCAAAAAAAAAAAAAATCCAATAGACAATTAGGTAAAAAAACATGAATAGGTATTTCAAGGAGAAACCTGAACAGCTAATGATCATTTGAAAATGTGCAATATCTCATTAGTAATCAAAGAAATGCAAATTACAGAACATTGATGATGCCATCTTGCACCTGCTGGTTGGGCAGAAATGGAGTTGCCGTGTAGATGGAGAACAGTGGGAACTCTCTGGACCACTGTGGGGACCAGAAGTAACACACGCTCTTTGAAAATCAATTTGGCGCCGTCTTGTGAAGTCGAACACGCACGTGCTTTCTGATTCAGCCATTCTACCCAGACAACACGCTCCAGAGAATCTCCCGTACGTGTGCACTGGGGACTTGAACAAGAGTGTTCACAGCAGCTTCGTTTGTAATAACAGAAACCTAGAAACAACCCAATCGATATTTTTGAGTAAGTAAAGGAATCTTTCTAGTCCTTTTCAACTCGGAAGACAGACGTGTCTGAGACCTGCCCCCACTGCACCTCATGATCACTGACAGGCATTGAATCCACTCCCCATCCCAGGCAGGGGTGGAGCTCCCCGCAGAATTTATCACTCCAAACAGTCTGCAGCTGGCCCCTCATTGTGGTCAGCTCAGTATAATCTGAGAATCAGGGCCTCCTGGCTCCTGGGCCAAGGACCCACGTGGCTGGGATCAGGGATCAAGGACCCCAGGGTGGGGCAAGTGGCTTCTCCATCCACTGGCCCATTCCCACCATGGGTTAGGGAGCTCCAGCGTGGCCCTCCCCAGCTCAGAGACTCAAAGGACCCTCAGAGAGCATCCTCTTAGCCCCCCACCAGGCAGGTTGGCACACTGAGACTACAGGTGGGCTGGGAGAGAGGCCACAGATCTCCTAAGTTTCAGTCCAATGGTCTTCCCAGTACCCCATGCCACCTCTCCAGGACCCCCAACTCCCAGCAGACCCAGATGCCCCAAGGGGAGAATGCACCCCCATTCATACGTTCTCTCTCTCTCTGTCTCTCTGTCTCTCTCTCACACACATACACCCCACCAGACTGAGTTTCAGTGATGGATGGGCCCGTCTCACCTCTACTGTAACACTGTAACCTCCTCTCCTCCCTCTTCAGTGGCTGGGGCTGCTCCTCCCTCCCCCCACCTCCAGCTCCTACGAGGAAGCCCCTTGGATACAGCAGTTGGAGGTCTTCGTCTTCGGGGAACCACTCTGTTCTTCCACCTGCCTCTCCAGAGAGCCAGGCCAGCCGCCTGCTCTGCTTGCAAAGAAGTGAAGGAGGCAAAGCCTCCTGGGCTGGGGGCTGGAAGAGGAGCTTCTAAATGGCTCCTGAGCCCCCAAGCCATGGCCAGGGTAGGGCGGGGTCCTAGTAAGGCTCCCATTCAGTCACCTCAGGACAAGCTCCCCTGGATCCTGACATTAGGTCTTAAATCCTAGCCCCCTCCCTTTATTCTGGGCTTCCTCAGCCCAAAGCCCTGAATCTACCCCAGGCTCTGCTGGGCCTGATCCTGGAGACAGCTCTGTCTGAACTCCACCACCCAGATCCCCACACGGGCCAAGGGTAACACCTAAGAGGGAGCACTGGCTCTGATGCTCTGATGCTACTGGGGAACAGATCACCCCACCAGCCGAGTCAGGGAGGACAGAGAGGACACCCAGCAGTCCCCAGACATTCCCAGATGCACGTACTTGGACAGGGGGCTTGATCCTGAGACCTCTGAGGACCAGAGCTGCCTCTCACCCCTCTTAGGCCGGGATCTGGGTTGAGCTCTTCTCAGGGCAGTGGGGAGGCTCAAGCTTTGGTGTCAGGCAGACAGATCCCCAACAGCTGCAATACCCTGGGCAAGTCAGCTGCCCTCTCTGGGCCTCAGTTTGCCATCTGTAAAATGGGGGCAATGTTTTAGGATCAGATGAGATAGCGATTAAGTCCCTCACGAGGTGCCAGGTGGGTTGAAGCAGCTCCATTTACAAACACGAGGCAGAGATGGGACATGCCTCTGCAGGGGATGGTCATCCAGTGGCCTGAGCCCAGCACATTCCCGCCCCAGTCTTCCTCAGGGGTTGGAGCTGGAGGAGGTGTGGCTGGGTAGTAGGGACACCAGTTACTCCTGGCTCTGTCACAGACTTCTGTGTGGCCTTGGGCGAGACATTTCCTGTTTATGAGTGTTAATTTCCAAGTATGAAATTGGTTAGTGTGGATCTTCTGGCTCTGTGATGTTCTGATTCTAGTCACACTGGCTGAATCTCTGCCTCTCGTCTCCTTTGGCTGGAGGATATGATCTGTTCTAAACTATCTAAGGAGCCTACATCACTTAAGCTGAAGTAAGAATTTATTCAACAGTCTGAACCCCCCGGCCAGGCCTCAGGCTACTCCTTCGCCATCTGGCTGATCTCTAAGCCTCTCATGATGGCTGAGGCATGCGTCACAGACATGAGCTAGGTGAGAGTGCAGAGAGCCTGATGCAGATCTGTCCCCACGTAGGAAATTGCTGAGTGTGCAGGTCATCCTGGAGGTGCTGAGTGAGTCCTGGGCCGCCTACGTTCTGGGTGGCTTGGGGCAGGGTGATGGGGACCATGACCTCTGTAGAGAAGATGCACAAAACTGGAAAGAGGGGGAGGGCTGCCCAGCACTTTTTCCACCAAGTCAGCGTGTCCTTCCTGCCCAGGAGCAAATCCCTGTCCGGCACCGCAGAGTTTAATGTCTGTGACCAGGCCTGGGGACGTCTGTCTGCTAGTCAGCCCCAGTGGGCACCCGAAGCAGCCACCTGTCCGTCAGGAAGGTGGACACCCCTGGGGCTCCATGCACACGTGTGCACCTGGGCATGTCCCCACTGCCTCCTCTGCCCTCGGGCCTCCCAGCCCAGGTTGCCCCATCAGAGATGTGTTCCCAGGTGGGACCCTCACTGGGAAGGGGGTGAAAGGGGCAGCTGACAGTGATGGAGCCTCCACCAGGACCAGCATGTTGGTACCGTAAGTGATGCTCTCAGCAACACTCTGACAGGAGATGATGGCACAGAGTGGGAACCAGAGGCTCAGAGAGGGTGAGCTGTTTGCCTATCACACAGCCGGAGGTAGCAGAGCCAGGATTTGAACCCGGGTCTACTCCATAGCCCACATTCTTACCCACTGCTCCACCAGGCAGTGTGACCTCAAGTGCCCCCAGACCTCGCCTGTGACATCACCTGCCTTGCAGATGGTGACTTTGCCAGCCCCTCCACAGAACATCCATATGCACTGTCTCCTTCATCGCCCACAGGATCATCTGGGGTGGGAGGCACCATCTCCATCGGACAGATGAGGAGACTGAGTCTTAGAGAGGGGAGGGGACCCTTCCTAAGTCATCAGCTGGTTGTAAATGGCAGAGCTGGAATTTGGCCCAGGTCTGCATGGTGCTGGTGACACATGCTGGGATGATGGGGGCTCATCCTTGGCCAGACTTGCATTCTCTGCTCTTTTGACCGCCCCCAGCTCCTCTCATTGATGCCACCACCTCCCACCAGCCCACAATCCTGAATGAGTCCTCTGGGCGGGGCTCTCTTCAGGTTCTGGGAGAGCCTCTACAGAATGTCAGCTACAGTTCCTGCCAGCAGCCCTGGGTGGGCTGCAGTCCACATGGTGGGGGTGGGGGGCCCAGGGGGAGACAGGGACTCTCAGCATTATTAGCGACAAGTCCACTTCAGATTTCAGATGACAGGTTCTTGGAAGAAGAGAAAGCTCTTTGGATGGCCAAACCAGAGTCAGGAGAAAATCCCACAGGCTAGAGCCGCTGAGGGAGACTCACAGGGAGGGATTCCATATGTAAATGTGAGTTTAGCATGCATCGTGAAGTTCTGAGCTGAGATGAGGAAAACAAATCAATGGCTCCAGCACAGAGGAGAGAGACAGGCCTTGATGGGAGCTGACAGGGAGCTCAGTGTGAACCCATGAGGTGGCATGTCTCATGTCACCTGTCCCTTCAGTCCTCCCCCACCCCCAGTCCAGTCCAGTCCCAACCAAGGCTCTTCTGATGAGATGGGGGGGCCCCAAACCTGGTAGCTTAATAAGAGCAGCAATAATAATATTGGTAACAATGAAAATACTTTTATCAATAGATAAAATGAGCTTTGCTGCTGAACATTTACTGAATGCTTATTCTACGCTATGTACTCACGTTATCTCTATCTTCACAAGAAGCTTGCAAGGTTGGTATTATTAACATCATTTTACACAAGAGGAAATTGAAGCTTAGAAAAGCTGAATGATGCAGAATAAATGGCAGAGGTGAAATGTGCACTTCAGTCTCTCTGATTCCAAAGCAAACATTCTTATGCACACATCTTCTATCTTTTAGACCATGTTAGTAGAGGTATGAAGTCTAGCAAAAGGGAGGTGAGAGTCCTGTTCAGCTGGGAGGCTCAGATGTTGCTGCCATTCTGAGCAACAAATGTAGATGGTCATGGATAAGCTGAACCTTATTTAAAAGCAAGGCTTCCAGGCTGAAAAGGGCATGGGAACCAGATCACATGGATTCATTCTTTTGTTCATTCATTCATTCATTCAACGGTTTAATAAGGACCCTATTATGTTCTGAGCCCCCTTCTAGACCCTGAAGACAGAAAGGTGAAGAAAGTTGACAGCATCCTTGCTCTCATGGAATTTGCATTCCAGTAGGGAAGAAAGTTATTAAATAAGTATATCTCCGGAAGTGATACGTTCTATGGAAAAAATAGGGACTAGAAAGGGACTAGGGATGAGAGGGCTGTATTAGAGAGGGTAGTCAGAGAAGACTTCTCTGAGGAGATGGCAGTTGAACAGAGACCTGAATAAATGAAGGAGTGAAACCTTCCAACAATGGTCAAAAGAATGTTCTGGTCATAAAGAGCAGCAGATGCAAAGGCCCTGAGACAGGAATGAGCATGATGTCCTCAAGGAACAGCAGAGAGGCTCATGTGACCAGAGCAAAGCAGCAGTGGGTAAGAGGTGAGGTGTGAGGGGTCAGCAGGAGGAAGATGATTTAGGGTCTTTAGGCCATGGTAGACTTTGGATTTTATTTTAAAAGTTGAAGAAATTCATTGCAGGGTTTTTGAATATGAGAGTGACCTGATCTGATTATCCTAAAAAGATCACTTTGCCTTCTGGGTGGAGAAGAAGAATAGGCAGCAAGAGTGGAGGAGGGGTGACCAGGGAGAAGAGGCCACATGAGTCCAGGTAGACCAAGAGGGGATGGAGACACAGGAGGGTGAGAAGGGGGTCACCCACCGAGGTATTGAAGGAATCAGGTCTTTATCCTAAAAAGAAGAGGTGAAAGTGAGCATGAAAGCTGTCCTCAGACATTGGAAGGGTTGTCACATGAACCAGAGGTCGGACCCTTTCTGCATAGCCCAGAAAGTCAGAACCAGGACCAATGGGTGAGGTCACAGGAAAGCCAACTTCACTTTTTTTTTCCACTGAAATGTAGTTGATTTACAATGTTAGATTCAGTTATACATATGCATATACATATTTTCTTCTCAGATTCTTTCATTATATGTTATTATAAGAAACTGAATATAGTCCCCAGTGTTATATAGTAGGTCCTTGTTGTTTATCTACTTTATATATAGTAATGTGTATATCTGTCAATCCCAAACTCCTTCCCCCGCCATTTCCCCTTTGGTAATCATAATTTGTTTTCTACATCTGGGTCTGTTTTTGATCTGTGAATAGAATTTGCATCTTTTTTTTAAGATTCCGCATATAAATGGTATCGTATGATATTTGTCTTTGTGTGGCTTACCTCACTTAACATGATAATCTCTAGGTCCATCCATGTTGCTGCAAATGGCATTATTTCATTCTTTTTTATAGCTGGGTAATATTCCATTGTATGTATATATATACATTCACACATACACACACACACACCCCACATCTTCTTTATCCAGCTGACTTCCCTTTGATAACAGATGCTGACTCAAGATGGAGGATCCTTCCAGTTGGGGACAGGACAGTGACCTCTCTACCACTGGAGGTGTATAGCAGAGATCAGTGCTCAGGGCTGCAAGGTACAAGGGACAGAGATGAGATAGATATGAATCCAAATCCTCCATCCTCTGCTTATTATCTGTGTTATCTTAGGCACTTCACCTTTCTGAGCTTGGTTTCCTCATCTCTAAATTCCAACCTAATTGGATTGCCATGAAATACTAGTGCAATCAGGTACATAAAGTACCTGGTACTGTGCCTGTCATTAAAGAGGTGCTCAGTAAATATCAGTGATAGCAATGATAGTGATGATACTGATGATGATGATAGTGATGATGATGATGGAAATGATGGTGATGGTGATGATGGGGGTGGTAATGATGATTGTTTTGGTGATGAAGGTGATGATGTTGTCAGTGATGATGGTGCTATCGTGTGGCTTGGTGGTGGTTGTTAAAGAAGCATCAAGGAAGGGGATGGACCAAGAGACCACTGAGGTATCTTCCAATTCTAAAATTTGATAAGAAAAGGCTCTAGAAGGTGGCTTATCACTGTCAGGCAGGACAATGTCTGTCTATTGATATTATCACACTTTTTATTGACATCCTCCCTGGGAATTCATTAGCCCAGAAGGAGCAGTAGGAACACCATCAGGCTCAGCTTCTTGTCCAGGGAGCCCTGACCCAATTTGTTCTTGACCCTGTGCCTTTCACATTCTGAGCAGCTCTGGGAACCAGAGAGGAGGCTGAAGGTGAGTGGGGGTGGGGGTTTGTATAGGGAGGGGCAAAGACTCTCACTTCTGTTGACATATACCACTCTTCCACGTTATAATCATCCAGCCCAGATTATGGTCAGAGATCCTGAGATTCTTGGAGTCTTGAAACACCTTAGATGCTCTGGTCCAACCATCCCTTCCCATTAAAAGATAAGAAACACTCCAGAAAGGGAGGATGACTTTCTTAAGGTCACAAGAAAAGTCCAGGTCTCTCGACTTCCAGTTTAACTCTCTACTTCACTATACTTTATCTATTGATTAAATGTTCTCACAAGTAATCAGCACAAACCCTCTTGGCCTCATTATCCTGACAATAAAAACCTCTTCTTACTAAGTGAGGTTGATCCGCATTTACAGGCACTCAGTCTGGTAACCAAGGCCAGCTTGATCCCACTAGGTAGTATTCTATATGTATTTCTATTTACAAATTTCACTGCTCAATTCATCTTAGCCCTAGCCTGTTGTCCCTTCCTCTAAGCAAAGTTGCTATCTTCTTAACAATTTCATTGAGATTTCTACGGACTAGCTAGATTCTTGCCATTTCTCTGCCATCCTTGACTGTCCCCCAGTGTATCTTTTAGGAATTGCATTCAGCTTCTGGTAACAAAGATCAGAATAATAGTGGTTTAAACAAATTGAAGGTTATTATCTTTCTCTTGTTTAAGAGAATTTGGGATGTAGGAATTTCCAGTATGCTTTGTTAACCCCATGTATTTTGTCAATGTCCCAGTCTCCTTCTTTGTCTTCTTTGTCTTTGCTTTCCCAGTGCATGACCTCATACCAAATGTTGCCTATTGGCCATACAAAGGCTGCTGGAGCTCCAGAAATTACCGTAGCATTCCATACACAAAACAAAGGAAGGGAGAGGACAAAGGAGCAAAGAGGGTTTCTCTAGATGCTAAGCTCCCGTCAAACAGCTTTCTTAGAAGTCACACCTAACACCTCTGTTCATATTCCACTGGCCATCCCCATCTGCAAGGGGAAGGGTGGGAACTAGTAAATATAGCTTATAAGCAGGACACCTATCCACTCCCAGCAGCACTGGCATTCCGCTGCTACAGAAGAGGAAACAAGATTCTGAGTGACAGCCTGCAGCCTAGGTCCCACCCAGCAATTTTAAGATTTAAATAAGGACTTAGAGATTCCAAGATTAGAACCTTAGCCCCAGAGCCAAATCTAGGAAGTCTCCTTGTGGGAAGTGGGCTGTAGAGACCCGTGCACACCTACCTCCGTTTTAAAACAAGTTAAAAGTAATATTTTAGCAATACATGCTCCTTGCAGAGAATTTTCAGACATAAAAAATTTTAAAAGTAAAAATCACTTTTATTCTTCCACTCAGAGATAACATTGGTGGGTACTTTTGCATGCATTCTTCTGGGTGTGGTTTGTTTGTTTCTTTTTTTTCTTTTGCTTATATTAGCGAAATTCGGAGTTTACTTTACGTCCAGTTTTATATGCTGTTTTTGTTTCCTGCCTTTATTTGTATAAGCATTTTCCCAACATGAATTAATTTTGGAAGGTCTCATTTCTAACAGCCACAGAATAGGCCAGTACGTGGGCTATTCCATAGCTGATGTAGCTAATTCCCCACTGGGAAGCGGTTGGATGGTTTCCGTCTAAATTTGGCCATTACAAAGGTTGCTGGGATGACTGGTCCTGCACATTGGTCTTTGTTTCCATCTCTGACTACTTCCTTATGACATTTCTGGTCTCACCAGGTCAAAGGGTATGGACATTTTTAAGACTTTGGGTATGTATTGTGAAGTTGCCCTCATAGAAGGCTGACCACTCCCAACAAAGGGTCTGAACACATCCTCAAATGGGTTTCTGAGGCCTCCCGCCCACCTCTTTCAGCATCATCCCTCTGAATCTCCTGCCTCAGCTTCCTCTCTCTGTCTCCCTTGGAAAATAATGGGAAAAGTTTATGTTCTAAAATATCTAAACATGTGTTTATGTTTAAGTACTTTAAAAAGTCAACATAATTATTCTAGTCCCATTAAGTTTAATTTGCAGCAAATTAGGCATTAGCATGAAGTTGAGGTTGCTTTGCTGGTTAGAGCTGAGATAGGATTTGGCAGTTAACAGTTAACTGAGCCGATAATAACAGCACAGCTGGGTAAACAGCGTCAGGTCATTTCTTTGGAAGGTGTTAGTCCCAGCTGGGAGCCTCAGTGCCCTGGAGCTCTGGAAATGCACCAGTGCCCAGCCAGGAGTTCCAGCAGACTGGGAGAGGGAGGGAGGAGGGCAGTGCTGTCTGGTTTACTGAATACTGGTTTACTGAATGTCCTGGGTGTCTGTGGAGCTGAAAGTCTCCCTGTTGGCTGCTGGGCAGGTGGGCAAGGGGCATGACCAGGTCCAATCCCTGAGGCAGGGGTAAGGATTTTGGTTCTTTTCCCAAAAGCCAAAAGGAGTAGTTGAAGAGATTCAGGCAGGAGTTACAGGTTGAGAGGCACTCTAATTGCCCTGGGGGATGGATGGGAGGGGAACGGGGGATGTTTGGGAGGGGAAAGACAGAGGAGAAATGGGAGGAATCTAAGGTAGTCCCCCAAATGCGGGATGACAGCTGGGGCAGAAACTCTGGCTACTCCACCTTGTGTCCCCTGGGCCAGCTCTGCTCTCTCCCCTGCACACGTGTTGGGCGGCCCCCGGTGCAATGACTGCTCCCCCTGCTCTCTGATTCAGCCTTTGAGGCTTTTCTCCCTCCTGCCCCTCCCCCCTCCTCACTGCGCCTTCTGGCACCGCCTCCCACAAATCCACCTGCACTCTTGGAGGAAACCAAACTCAGAGAGCACTGATCCCTCCAGAGCAATAGCCGCAGGATGGATGGAGTGGAGAATCTGAGAGATACTCAGGGAGGGCGGTACCGGGATGGGCAGGAGAGAGAAGTGGACACAAGCTACGTTGATCAGCAAGTGAATGGTGCCCCTTTCCCTAATGTGTGTGTGTGTGTGCGCGTGTGTGTTTGTGTGTGTGTGTGTATACAGAAATTTTGCATACATGCATCTAACCAACATCCCATTAAGATACCCCATTTTCATTACCCCAGTAATATCTCTTGTGTTCAATTCCAGTCAATCCCCTCCCAGCCCATTTCTGCTATGTAGATTAACTTTGCATGCTCTAGAATTTCCACTGAAAGGAATCCCATGGAAATTATCTAGGGTCTTTCGCTGAACATGTTTTTGAGATTAATCTACATTTGTGTTGATCAGCAGGTTATTCTTGTTTATTGCTCAGTGTTAGTCCTCTATGTGGATATACCACAATTTGTTTATCCTTTAGCCTATTGTTCAACAACTGAGTTAATTCCAGTTCGGGCCTATTATGAATAAAGTTGCTACCAAAATGCTTATACACTACTTCTGGGTATTTAAGGACGTAGAGTGGGTGTATATTTTACATTTTAACAAACTGATAAGCCCTGTTCATTCTTGTGACAGTATTGTTTTGCATTCCCTCCAGAAATGTGTAGCATTTCAGTTTGTTTCGCATTACTCAGCAATACTTGATACTGTCAGCCCTTTAAAGTTTACCCATCGTGAAGATCCCCAATAACTAGTAATGCTGAGCATTTTTCATGTGTATTTTGTCCACCAGTATCTCCTCTAATGTGAAGTGTATGTTTAAGTATTTTGTCCATCTTTTATTGAGTTTTCCTTTTCATGATTGATTTATGTAAGTTCTTGACATATTCTGAGTATAAGTCCTTTGTCAGACATAGGTATCGTGATGATTTTTACTAATCTGCAGTTTGCATTTTTTTAATTCATAATGATATATTTTGAAAGCCAAAGGGTCTTATGCTGATGAATTTCAATTTACCATTTTTATGGCTATTATGAATAGTATTTTTGTGTTTGTCTTAAGAAATTTTGGTCTACATCCAAGGTCACAAAATTATTTTCCTAAAATTTTTCTCCTATTTTTTTTTGTTTTTTTTTCAGTTTTTACATTTACACCTTTATTTCATCTCAAATTCATTTCTATGTGAGGTGTAAGTTAAGGGTCTAGGATAATCACTTTTCCATATAGATACAGTTGTTATAGCTCCATTTGTTGAAAAGACAGTCCTTTCTCCCACTGAAATATCTCTTAGACTTAGACAACGTATATGAGTGTGGGTTTATTTTAGGTCTCTATTCTATTTCATTGATCCATTTCTATTCTTGCTTTGTCTTGATTATTGTAGCTTCATAGTTTTGCAATCAAATATTGTTTGTCCTTCAAATTCTTTTTAACGATTATTTTGGCTAGTCTAGTTTTAATGTATTTGTGCATGATTTTAGAAACAGCTTGTTAATTTCTACCAGACACACACACACTCACACACACACACACACACAAAACGAACAAACCTGATTGTGTGTGTGTGTGTGTGTGTGTGTTAAATCTAAATTTCAACTTGAGGGTAACTGACATCTTAACAATATTATTTTCTAATCCATGAACAAGATATATCTTTCTGTTTATTTGTCTTCCTTCATTTCCCTGTGAAATAATTTCTAGCTTTCAGTATAGAGGTCTTGCACATTAAAAAAAAACCTTAAATATTGTGTGTTTGATGTCATTGAATCAAACTGTATTGCATTTTAACTTCTTAAACAAATGTTTGGTTTGAGTATAGAGCAAGATTCAGCAAACTCTTTCTGTAAAGGGCCAAGGAGTAAGTATTTTACAGACCATACACTGTTACAACTACCTAACTCTGCCATTGTAGCATGTTAGCAGCCATTGACAATAATGTAAACAAATGAGCTTTGGCTGTGTTGCAACACAAATTTACTTAAGAACACTGAAATTTGATTTTGTATAATTCTACATGTCACAAAATATTTTTATTTTTTGGATGATTTCCAACTATTTTTTTTAAATTTTAAAATATTCTTAGCTCATAGGCTAAAAAATTAAAAAAACAGGTGGCAGGCCAGATTTGGGTCCCAGGCCACAGTTTGCCAGCCTCTGACATGGAGAAAACAATTGATTTCAATACTTTCATACCTGCAACTTAAATTCACTTATAGTTTTATGATTTTACTTATAGTTCCATCCTGCTATTTGTTAAATTCACTAGTAGTTTCTTTTGTTGCTTCCTTAAGATTTTCTATAAAACATGTGCATCATCTACAAATAATAAGAGTTTTAATTCATCCTTTCCAAACTTCAAGGTTTTTATTTCTTTTTCTTGCCTTATTACTAACCAGAACCTCCAATACAATGTTGCATTGAAGTGATAATAATATACATTGTGACTTGTTCCTGATAAGGAGAATGCATTCAGCCTTTCACTACTATACCTCACTATATGATGTCAGCTGTATATCTTGCAAAGAAGATAAAAGATTCTTATAAGATTTATAAGATTAAGGAAATTTCCTTCTATTTCTAGTTTGCTGAGAGTATTTATTATGAATGGGTGTTGACTTTTTTAGTTTCTTGGCATTTATTGAGATGATCATATGACTTTTCTCCTTTGTTATGCTAATGTGGTGAATTAACTTTGACAAATTTTCAGATGTTGAGCCAATCTTGCATTCTTGTAATAAATTCTACTTGTTCCTTGATATAAAAATATGTATTTCTGGATTTTATGTGTTAATATTTTTTAGTGGCTTTGCATTCATGTGCTTGAGTTAATTTTCTTTCTTTTAATGTCCTCATTGGAATTTGATGGTGGGGTTATGCTGGTCTCCAAATGAATTGTGAAATGTCCCATCCTCTTCTATTATCTGAAAGAATTTGTGGACAATTAGTATTATTTGTGTCATAATAGACTTGACCATTGGGCCAGGAGCTTCCTTTGAGGAAAAGGGTTTTACTTACGAATTCAAGTTAAATAGTAGATACAGGGCTATTCAGCATTTCTATGTCTTCTTCTGTTACTCTTGGTAAGTTTTATATCTCAAGACATTTTTTGAGTTTTTCTAAGTTCTTGAATATATTGACATAAAGTTATTCATACTATTCCCTTATTATCATTTTGATGTCTGTGTAATCTGTAGTGGTATCTCCTCTACCACTCCTGATACTGATAATTTATATGTTCTTTCATTTTTTTCATATTGTCTTAGTCAGTTCAAATTGCTATGACAAAATACAGAATGGCTTAGACAACAGAAAACTGGGAAGACCTAGATCAAGGTGCCAGAGAATTTGGTTCCTGGTGAGGGCCATCTCCCTTGCTTGCAGATCACCCTCTCCTTACTATGTCCTCACGTGGTGGAGAAAGAGAATGAACTCTCTGGTGCCTCTTCTTACAAGACACTAATCCTATTGAATTAGGGCCCCACTCTTTAGAACTCATTTAACTTTAATTACCTCCCTTCAGGCCCTATCTCCAATGTAGTCACATCAGGGGCTAGGGTTTCAACAGATATATTTGGGGGAGAACACAGTTCAGTCCACTGTGCATTTCTTCTTGACAAATTGAAATCTTCGGATATGGATCTTCTTTGTCTCTTATATGTTCTGTTGTCTACTTTCTTCGATGTTATTATAGCCACACAAGCTTTGTTGTGCTTAACATATCTTTTTCCATCTGTTTGGCTATCAACCTGACAGTGTCTTCACATTTAGACTGTGTGTTTTGTATTCCTCACATAGCTGGGTCTTGCTTTTTAAACTAATCTGAGAATCTCTGACTTTTATTTCAAGTATTGTGACTGTGTTGACTTTATCACCTTTTTTGTTTGTTTTGTGTTAGACCCTTTTGTTCTTGGATTCTGTTTCTCCTTTCCTGTCTTTTGGGTTAACTGAGTATTTTTGATATTCTTATTTATCTCCTTTATTGGGTGTTTTAATTATGCTTCCTTGTGTTATTCGTAGTATTTGGTCTGATGGCTACCATACATTCTTTTCCCCTGGGACTCACTGAAGTTTCACTCACACCTGCCAGTTCAGTGGGTCAGTTTGCATCCTTAACTTCCCTCAGTCTGATTTAATACTATCCTCCTTTGTTTATATGAGAACCTTATGACAATGCAATTCTATTTACACTCACTCTAATTCATTGGCTATTATTGTCATATATTTTATTTCTCCCTATGTTGTAAACTCCACAATCCATTGCTATTATTTATTCTTTAAACCATTTACTAACTTACAGAACTGAAGAGAAATATGTTTTCATATTTACCATTTCCAGTGCTTTTCCCTATTTTAAGTAGATCTAAAATTTCATCTGATATTATTTCCCTTTAGACTAAAGAACTTCATTTAGGATATTTTGCTGTGTGGCTCTGCTAACAACAAATATTATCATCTTCATTTATCTGAATATGTCTTGAATTCATCTTATGTTTTTTCTGAGTTTTTGCTGGATAAAAAAAAAAATGCGAGATTAAAAGGTTTTTTTTCCTTCCAGAACTTTAAAGATGTTAAATTGTCTTGAGGCCTCCATTTATCTGAAATAAAATTAATTTTTGTTATTATTCTTGTTCCTCGGTATTAATATGTTTCCTCTCCTCTGACTATCTTCATGATCTTTTCCTAATCTTGGAATTGCAGCAGTTTGACTATGACTAACTACGACTGTGCAATTATCCTACTTGGGATTCACTGAGCTTCCCAATCTCAAGGGTTATTTTTATCAACTTTTGAAATTGTTTTTTTTAATATTTTCTCAAACGTTTGATTTTCTCTTCCATTCTTTCATCCATCTCACAGCTCGCTGGGTCCGTTTGTTTTCAATATTTTTCACACACACAACTTTCCCTATGGTTAATATTTTATATTAGTCTAGAACACTTATTATAATAATGAGCTAATATTGGTGCATAATCACTAACTAAAGTCCAGAGCCTATTCAGATTTCCTTAGTTTTTACCTGATGTTCTTTTCTGTTCCAGGATCCCATTACATTTAGCTGTCATGTCTCCTTAGACTCCTCTTGGCTATGACAGTTTCTCTGACCTCCCTTGTTTTTGATGAACTTGGCAATTTTGAGGAGTACTGATCAAGTATATTTTTGGATGGCCTTCTATTAGAATTCGATGTTTTTCTTGTGATTGGATTGAGGGATATAGATTTGTAGGAGAAAGACCACAGAGGTAAGATCCCACTCATCATATTAAGGGTACAGATATCAACATGACTTACAATTGTTCCCATTGGCCTTCATCACCTGGCTGAGGCAGTGTTGATCAGATTTCTCAGCTATAAAGTTAGTCCCCCTGCCCTTTCCATGCTTTACTCTTGGGAACGAAGTCGCTATGAGCAGCCCACACTTAAGGAGGGGCACAATGTTTTGCTCCACCTCCTTGAGGTTGGAGGGTACTACATAAATTACATGGAATTCTTCTGCGCAAGAGATTTGCATCTTCTCGACAATTTGTTAATTCAATATTTTTATTATATAAGTTGCAAGCCTACAGCATTATAATTTGACTTCTATACACCACAAGGTGATCTCCACCACAAATTGAGCACCATCCACCATCATATAGTTGACCCCTTTCACTCATTTCACCCAAACCCAAACCCTTTCCCCTCTGATAATCATTAATCTCATCTCTGAGTTTGTTTAATTTTGTTTGTTCATTCATTTTGTCATTTTAGACTCCACCTATGAGTGAACTCATATGGTATTTGTTTTTCTCCATCTGGTTCATTTCACTTAGCATAATATCGTCAAGGTCCATCCATGTTTTCACAAATGGCAGGACTTTATTCTTTTTTATGGCTAAGTAAGTAGTATTCTGTTGTGTATATTCCACATCTTCTTTATCCATTCATCCAGTGATGGACACTTAGACTGTTACCATATTCTGGTGATTGTAAATAAAACTGCAGTAAACATATGGGTGCATATATCA